TTGGCAATCAGTCAGCTGGCTAGTAATGTAGTCAGTCCATCAAAAGCGGTCGACCAATCAATCTTCAGTCAATTAGTTCACAGTCAATTCCACAATCAGTCCATCATCTTCAAGCACTCAGTCAGTCAAACATGAATACCATAACTACACTATATATAAGCTGAAGTGAAAAGCTTACTGCTATAGTTAATCACTTGTATAGCAGTCAGCTTTTGCTTGCCATCAATGATCAAACAGTCGGCTGGTCCAGGTGGTGTGTGTGTGTGTGTGCGTGTGCATGCCTTCGATCACTGCTTTAAAGGTCAAGTGTGTGTCGGGAGCACACCGCGCCGCTTAAAGCACGCACACATACACATCAATATATATGTGTATGTGTGCAGGTAAATGTCCCAGGCCGCACGCTGGGCGGGCATTTCTCTCTTTGCTGAATCTGTGCGCCAGGGAAATTATTGCAAAGGCCAACGAAAAGGCGAACTCATCTTTAGTAATTTGTTTGCATTATGCAAAGTGCGGCTAACTGAATTATCGTTAGCTGTGCGCTCTGGCATCCTTGGCAGCTGCACTTCCTTTCTTTGCCAGAGTCCTTTTCAGCGCTGGCTGCGCGCTGCCTTTTCTTTTTCTTTGTCTTTGTCTTTGGCCTGCCTTTTCAATGAGCAATGCGCCGCAGTCAATTTGATGAATTTTTCACAAATTCCATCTTAACGTCAAATTGGCCAACGGGATAGGTTCTCGTTTATTTTTTATGCTTTTCTTGCTGCTGCTTTCACTCTCTCCCTCTCGCCCTCTCGCCCTCGCACCTCCCTCACACTCACTCTTACGTTCTTTTTTCACTTGTGCCTTCTTTTGTGCCAGCGAAAAGCCCAGTCGCTGCCGCGAAAGCAGAGAACAGCCAGAGTCCTCCCCCCGTGGCGCCCCCTCGCTCGCTCAGATTCATCGTGAAACCGCTTGAGCGTCAAGTGATTGATGCATTGCGCTTGTAAATTTGATGGCGCGTTGGTTTGCGGATGAAGCAGGTCGTCGGTTCGGTTTCGGGCCGCGAAGGAAGCAAGACTGGGCGCTGCCTCAGCAGCAAGTCATCGTCCAGAATTGTGTGCTTGGTCCAGCTACAGCAGCAGCAGCAGCAGGAGTGGCGGCAGCTCCATTCGCTGCATTTGCCAACTCAAACAGTCGCTGCGGCCTGGCGGGGCATGCAAAGTGCGCGAAATTGACTTTGCTTTTGCGGGCGCTGACAGTGGCATTGCCGGCTGCTGGTTGCGTCCTGGTTGAGATGGTTGGGATTGTTGGTTGGCTGCTTGGCAGCTGCGCGAATGATGAATGGAAAATGCGAAAATTTGTAAGGCAGTGGGAGAGCGAGACGGTGAGGGAGAGGGAGTGAGGGAGTGAGGGAGCGGGCGAGAGTGAAGGACTGCAAAAGAAATTGTGAAATCTTAGTTGAAATTATTATAAATTAATGGCTATCCTTGTGACCCAGTTACCCGAATGTTTCGAAATAAGCAGCCACTGGAGCTGGCGGTGGTGCAGCCGCAGCTGTGGTCTAGCGTGGTGGGGTGGGTGTGCCATGGGCGGGCACAGTTCATTGAGAAGAAAGGAAACTGCAGAGCTGAAGTGCTTCACTTGCCACACACACACACTCACACACACACACATACACACACGGCCGTCCGTCCACACGGCACATCCTTTAAACAGTCGCATGTGTGTGTATGTGAGTGTGTGCGTAGTGGCTCTGTCGTCCTGGTTTGACAGTTGCATTTTTAATGCTGGCCATAATTAAGTTTTGTGCAACAGCAGCAGCAAATGCAGTCCGCGCCAGCTTAGGGACAAAATATCATTAGCCGGCGCGCTGCGCTCGTGTCCCAGCAGTGCGCACTGTACAGTGCGCCGCCGTTGCAATGGCCAGCACAACTTTCGAGCCACTCTCCAGGCCATGCCTCATCGACGACTGAAACTTCTGCTGCTGCTGCTACTGCTGCTGCTTCATCATCTCAGATACCTGCTGGCAAAACCATTCATTCACTATTCATGCACAGGCAAATGAGTGCCACAGCAATACTTGGCCCGGGGACGGGGGCGGGCGGCTGCCAGCTGGCCCAAGGATAAGCGGAAATTGATTTCGAACCACTGTCAGCGCTGTGCACTTAATATATGCAGGCTGCATTAGTAAATCGATTTAGTTATTCTATTCAAAATAAATTTGATCAAAAGAATCGCAGACAAAGGGCAACCGAAGTGGTGGAGGAGGGCGAAGGCATGCGAGAGAATTGAGAGGAGAAGAAGAACAAGGATTTCAATTAGATCCGCAATAACAGTCATGATAATTGGGTAGGTGGTGTGTGTTGCAGAGATTTAGTAGGGATTTTCCTTAGGAAAATGATATACATATATCATGAGGTATATAATATAAATAATCGGAATAATATTTATATAAGAATATATTTGAGAATATACATTTATGGAGAGGTATATCTTATAAAGATGAATCAGCAAAATTCTAATTAATCTTATTTAAAAATATAAAGAATGTGTTAAGGG